CGCTGCAACCCCATTTCTGGCTGCCTCCTCCCCGCAACACCCAGGCCCTGAGCTCAACGCCCAGGATGCCAAGGGACCGGGGAAGGAGGTCAGCTGCTTTTGGGAAACTCTTGCTTTAAGTCTTTGCCTACATTGCGGCTCGCCTTGGGCCAGATAAAGGCCAGAGAACAAGCGTTACACTTGGTAGCGCCGCATGGTTCATCGGGGCAAGGTGCGAGCCCGGGTCCGATCCCCACACGGGTGACATCAAGCACAGCTGAAAAACAAACGATCGCAAAAAAATATATAAAAAATTTATTTTGTCCGTTTATTTCTATCGAAATAACACCCATTTCCTTTGTAGACAAAACCTCTCCCAATTTCAGTGTTCCCTTCGGCAAAATGGAGGTTGACTATGAGCCACTCACAGAGGGGAGGTCGACGCACGGTCCGGAACCCCAGCAAGCGGAAGCCAGCTCCATTTCGGCATCCAATTCTGGAGAAAATGCATTCCTGCCAAAAACAATTCAAGAGGAGTGCCTCCGGCTGTGCCGTCCCACGCGATATGACGGGCGCCGATATGTAGAGGCTTTGGGGGAGTTCCTCAATTCCCTAGACCTATACCTCCGCATTCAAAATGCCCCAGAAGAATTCCAACTCCTCCTCGCCTCTTCCTTGTTAGAAGGGGAAGCAAGGCAATGGTGGCAACACTTAAGCAACGGCTCCACGTTCCTGGAGCACATCAGGTCCATGCAGCCCTTCCGGGACGCGCTACGTTGCACGTTTATCCCGTCGTCCGCAAGGGAGCAGGCAATGGCGGAACTGAGAAAGCTTGAACAGGGAAAACTTTCAATAAAGCGCTATATTGAGAAATACCCGTCCTTGGTGAACCGAAGTTCTATGGTGGCCGCGGAGCTCCACTACATTTGGTTTATAGCGGGGCTGGAACCCGTAGTGAGGCAAACAGTGAATGGCTGGGCTACGGAAAGGGAAATGAGGGGCGAAAAAGTGGAACTCGCTGACACGATGGAATAACTCCGCAGAGTGGAAAAGAAAAACGCCACATCCACAGCCCTAGCTGAAAAGGAAGAAAGCGGGCCTGGGAACGATCCCGATTTGGAACCAATGGATATTGGGGCTGTGAA